GTTAACTAGATGAATTGAATTCTTTTTTATATTATTAATGACCTTATATTATTGACATATTGAAATAAAGTCAATACATTGAGAACGTTTTCTTTATAGTTTAATATAAGTTGATAGAACCGCTTCAAATGACAAAGGACATAACCACTAGTGACTGACTAAGGATATTTCCTGGAGTTCTAGTGAGAAGCAGTGACAAGTGGAGTTCAACCAGGTCTGTTTTGAGATAGTAACTCACTAAAGACGATGGTGGACGGTTGTTCAATTTCGCGGATTGGTTGAAATTCGACACCGTTGACATTAACACTGTTGGATGCCGGCATGTTCAGTGGTCTAGAGGTTAAGTAATCGCACGCGCGAGACTGATAGGTCCTGGTTTCGAATCTCGTGAGGCGGGATCGTGGATGCACACTACTGAGGAGTCCCACAATAGGACGATTCGGCCGTTCAGTGCTTCAAGGTTTTCCGTGGTGGTCTAGATTCAACTGATTGATGGTTTCACCCATAAAAGGATTGGACAAACATTTTTCTTTGAATTATGACTTTTTAGAAGCACCTAAAAAACGTCTAAAATTGATTGTACTAATTAATGTTAAATGATTATTTACGAAGAAGTTATCTGTCACTATTTCCAGTATTTAAATAATTTGAATAAACTTTCGAGTGGTAAACGAATTTCATAACTTTAATGTTTAAGATATTAGATTGTCTACATGGGAAGGCTGTAATTTGTTAGATATAGCAGTCGTGCAGTGAAATAGAACATAAATAAGGACAAACAAATGTATTTGAATACAATATTACAGAATATCTTGGTAAAATCTAAAAACCATACAGTGAATACTTCATTTGTAAAATATTAATCAATTGTTTCAGAATTCATTTTTACAACGTTTCCCAAATCAATCACTTTCTGTTCTCGTTATCTCCTCTTCGATCTTCTTAATCTCCTGTCTCCATGCATTTGACTTTTGATTAGTGATACATACTACTTATATCTGTCGACATCATTACCACACACACACCATAGTTGTATCTGTCGTAATCATACAATAAATAATAATTTTAATAATAGTTTGAATAATTTTTTTTCTGTTTAGCGTTTTTTTAGCGAGTTGATTTTCTACGGGATGGGGTCGCTAACCCAATGCCCAACCCTCCTCCTTTACCCGGGCTTGGAACCGGCAGTAACTCTAGAAGAGCTACAGGCGGAGTTAATCATACAATAAAGCTTGAAGTAAATATTTTGAATTAAACACTAGTACAGAATTTTTAATGTTCCTAATTTAGATCAAGTTAGATATTATCTAATTACTTCAAATATTCTTCTTTCACTAGAGTATTTTTATCGTCACAATTTTATCATAAGTTTAATCTATATGCCTTAAATTTAATTACAGTAATTTATCATTCTACTAATGATAGTTCCCTGCTTTTTCAACTTATGTAAAATTTGCATAGTTGAAATCATGAGTCAATTGAAGCTAGACCACCATGGAAAACCTGGAATCACTGAACGGCCAAATCGTCCTATTGTGAGACTCCTCAACAGTGCGCATCCACCATCCCGCCTCACGAGATTTGAACCGAGGACCTACCAGTCCTGCTGATGAGTCCTACAACAAGACGAAACGGCCGTTCAGTGCTTCCAAGTTTTCCATAGTGGTCTAGTTTCATTTGACTCATGATTTCAACCATACTAATACTGAAATCTTAACAAAACCCCTTCTGATATGTGAAATTGACAATGTTTAGGGAAAAAAATACCCTGATCATTCCTTTTAACTCGTGGATTATTATGTTGTTTGAAATCACTTTCATTCAAAATTTAAAGTACAAAAAGGTTTGTGTATATACATGCATCCATTCATGTAATAACATGTCGAATGATTGTCAGTCTAAGTAAATTTCGGCACATAAACATTGAGCCTAATGGAATGTTTGATGAAACGATGTATTTGTCTACTTGTTCATTTCACTCATTCAACCGTGAACACATTTGTATCGAAGTATGCAATAATGATGTTGTTCAAAAACCATAGAATTAAACTCTCAAGATCAGAGAATACAACACTTCCTTTAAAAATAACAAATTAATGGTATCAAAGTTTCTTAATTGTATTATACACTAATATGTTTTGGTTTGAGGATATAAAGATTGTTGAGTTTCATTGAAATCATGAATTGTTTAGTGTTAGATCATCATTAAAAACCTAAAAGCACTAGGCGGCCGTTTCGTCCTAGTATGGGACAGTATGAGGCAGTTACCCATTGAAGACAATAAAAGAAAATCTAGCAAAATTTTGGATTAGTTGAATGTAGACATTAACACTTTTAGATGCTGGTTCGATGGTTTAGAGGTTAAGTGTTTCTACTCGAGACGGAAGGACCTGAGTTCGAATCAAACATGCGGGATTGTGGATAAGCACAACTAGGGATTCACATACTAGGATGAAACGGCCATCCAATGCTTCCAGGTTTTTAATGGTGGTCTAACATTAATCGATTGATGATCTCAATTAATTATTGTCATAATTTATTATTTCTGGCAATGAAGAAGAACATTCTTACTATAAGCCTAGTGTATGCGATATATTTACCAAACAAATAATTGATCATTCCATATTTTTCAATAAAGATTTACCATTTGATTCTTTCTGGGAGACATGAATGGGTAGAAATTTATATTATATGTTTCATATTGAGTCTTACATTTATCATATTAGACTTCGTTATCTCAGTCTGTATGTATATTGATTAAAGGAAGAACTAAAATTTGGATGATCATAAAAACGTAATTTTCTCCTTCAATTTATAAGAACAATAACTTTATTTTATGAGTTTGTGTTCATTTTTCTTTGCTGTGTCTGAATTTATTACTAATAAACAAGCCTTCTATACACAAGCTCAACTGGTTACTTATATGATAAGAACAATAGCGAGAAGAAAGCTTTCCTTGGCTAACAGAATATATGGATGGCTCGTCGGATAAACTCAAGGAAGCCTCAAGAAGCACATCCAACCACTACTAGGGGAAGATTCTAGAATGACGACGTGTAGCTTCCCTATTGGATGAATAAAAATGCTGCCCTATGTGCCTATAGGCTGTCCGAAATGATGGTTTACTTTCAGCCGAAAACTATAGATACATGAGATTTTTGTACAATACTTGACACTGTTCTTGAAATAACATTCCTATGTCTTCTCATTTTGCGACTTGGGAGGGTTTTAGCGTTCGAGTGCTCAAGTATTACGTGACATACTAAGAATCTAAGTACGAGATATAACACAGAATTGACCAGAAACTGCAACCATTCATATGTATATATATATAGAGGAAATTTTATTTTCGACGTTTCGTGATTTATTGTAAGTCACTTCTTCAGAACAAATAAAACTATTTACGGTGTAGTGTGGTCTACTTATATCCATATAAGTAGTATACGTTGATAGTCAGACATAGAATGTATTTTGGCAGAACATCGATAAGGGAAGAACTAACCAATTTTATATTTGATCTTTGGAGCATACTCATTGCTTAGTTCTGATGTATTGAAAGAGAACATGAGTGGGGACAATCGAATGTATTCGACCACAATTACAGGATAACTTAGTAAAATCTGAGAACCACACAGTAGATACTTCATTTGTTCAATTGTTTCAGACTTCATTGTTACAACGTTTCCACATCAATTACTTTCTTTTCTCGTTATCTCCTATTTGATCTTCTTAAGCTGCTGTCTCCATACATTTCATTTTCGATTAGTGATATATACTACTTATATCTGTTAACATTAGCAGCACATACCGCACCAACACTTATTCAACATTTTAGTAAAAGTAATATTGTCATATCTCAAATGAATTCCTTATATAATACATGAAAGTCAATTTTCACCAATGTATCATTCTTGTGCATGTGATCAACCTAGAATTTCATTTCTGAAAGAATTTGTAGTTGTTTTTAGACTAAAATATCCCTAAACATTATAGAAAATAATCAATTTCATGTTGGGTGTAAAGAAATACTGACTTTCATACATTAAGATACATTGGCTCACATACTTCACTTCATTCAATTATTCATGTTGCATGACCATCATGGAATATCATAGGTGACAACTACCGAACAATTTACATTATTATACTCTAACTGTCAAGAATTATCATTACTATTTACAGATTTCATCTTGAATATAATTACATGGATCGGAACCTACTTTTTTTACGGTAGAGTTATTTGGATTCATCCAACAATTTCTGCTTCCTATTAAATTCTCCAGCTGACAGTGATGGGTGATGTAAATTGACTTTACAATGGTAGCAAAGTCAGTAAATAAATCTCAATAGCTTATCTTATAATTCGACTGGGTTATACATCGTTTTCAGAGTAAATAAATAATAACAACTGCTAATGTAAATATTTACTTAACTACCTCATTAAAAGAGATAAGTATATAATCACTACAATTTTAAAGTATGGTTTATCAGATTTTCTAATGACTTAAGTCAACTACATAACATTTCAATGGAAAACAAGTAGAAGATAGAATTCACTTAGTATTGTTTGTTTGAATCTTCCGATTCATACTTAGAACTGCAACTGGTCAGTGAAGATGGATAGTGGCTAGCAGTGGAATCCAGTTTGACGCGCATTTCGTCCTATTTGGGACTCATCAGCTGGATATACCTGTATTTCAAAGATAATGTTCACTCTGTGACTCGAATCCAGTACCGTTTGTTTGTGAATTAAGTCAATATCGATACAATCTGTACTGGATGCACTTATGCAAAATAAGTGACGGATCAATTACAACACTAAAGATCAATGAAAAAATTCAAGTAAACAATACGAAGTGAATTTAAATTTCACTCCATTGCATAAGCTAGTGGTTATCAGGACTCAGTAATTAAATGGATAACGTGATGACATTTGAAGCGTGAGATACTGGGTTCAAGTCCCAAAGTGAACATCAACTCTGAGATGTAGATACATCCAGCTGACCAATCCCAAATAAGATGAAACACACATTTTGGATTTGACGGCTACCCACTATCCATCAAATAGAAGATAGTTATCTTGAATGTATGACAAACTAATGTACAATCAATCAACAAAAAAAGAAAGAAAAAAGAAAATCGATTGTCATTTTTATTCAGAACAAACATTAAAATCAGCAACATTTTTTTAAAAAAAAAAACAAAAAAAAATAACACCCTTCACAAATCAATGATAAAATAACATTTTCAAAACCAACAATAAAAAGCAAATACACGAAGCTCATTCACTTACTACTTACTATTTATGATATATAAGTAATATCAGTAGTATATTATGCATAAATGAAACCACACACACAAATAAAAACAAAATCACATTTACTCACATTGAAACAGATTCATTTCAGATTTTTTAAAAAGTTTGCCATTTTTTTATTATTTTTTTTCCTGTTTCATGATCATAAATAATTTAAACAAGATTCAATGTACAATACAAATGATCAAATGAATGAACACATATAATATACAGACAATTTATGGTTGTTATTAATGTTATTGTTTTTTTTTCTTTCTTTAAATAAATAATGAAAATAAAGAAATTTTGTTTGTTTAGTTTCCATGACACTAAAACACGAACACACACACCCACACACCTACACACACACACACACACACACACACCTACACACACACACACAAGAAAAACACTTTGATTAGGTAAACTATTAAGTAATGAAACTAAGAAACAGTGAGTTCGTTAGTTAGTTAGTTAGTTAAAATAACCAAAATCCGAATGTTCATTTTTCAATGATAAACGTGGGCTACTATTTGTACTTGTTTTTATTGTTTGTAAACGATCAATTGTAGAATTATTATGAATATCTCCAGATATTTTCATTGATGATGAGGATGAAGGAGGAGGAGATGGTAATTGTCTACGTTGTCTTGGTTTAGATGTTCCAACATCTTCTAAACAAGAACTATGACGACGCCAATATTGATTTGAAGAAGGATCATCATTTAAATTTAAATAATTTTTATCTATATTAATTGTATCTGAATTCAATGTATTATTATTAATAATTACTGAAGGTGTTAAAAATTGTCGAATAGTCGGTGAATTTGTTAAAGAATTACCTGAATATGTTGAATGATTTGGTGATATTGGTTTTTTTGTCGAAGTTGTTTTCATCTTAAATGAATCTTGAAAATTTGATTTAGGCGAAGATAATATTTCAGATGATTTTCTTAAATAAGATGATCGTTTTATATAATTTGATTCTGATAATTTGCCTTTATGATCTTCATTTTCTCTAGATGATGTTGAAACTTGATCCAGTTTTAGTTTACTTAAACGTTCATTTTCCAAATCTTTATTATTTATATCTCTCCTACAATTTAAAAATGACTACTTATTTTAAACAAATATGATGAATTTGGAACAAAATTCAATCTGTTATAAGTAGAGAAGAATAGCGGCTAGCAGTGGAATCTAAGATGCGCGTCTCCTCCTACTTAGAACTCATCAGATGCATGTGTCTGGGTTCGAGTCCGAAAGTGAACATCAACTTTGAGATGCAGGTACATCCGGCTGGGGAGTCCCAAGTAGGATGAAAGGCGCATCAAACTGAATTCCACTGATAGCCACTATCCATCTTTACTTATAATGCTTGTGAATTAACATAATATCGAGGCGATACGCACAGTATGTACATATACCAATAACAGACTAGTCAATTGCAGACGTAAACATCAGTGGAAAGATTCAACTAAAACAATACCAAGTGAATTTAAAATTCAGTGAAGGCTTATGAAGAATAAAGTATTTTTTTAACAGTTGATCAATTAAAGTTAGACCATCACTAAAAATCTGGATTGCCGCTTCGTCTTAGTATGAAACTTTTCAATAGTGTGTGCTCACGATCCCACACGTGGGATACGAACCCAAGACATTCGGTCTCGCGCGTGAACACTTAGTCTCCATACCAGTGAGCTAGAATCCACCAGTGTTGATCTCTGAGTTTATTCTATCCGTGATCTTACTCAACCCTTTATTCATTATTTGAGCTGGATAACTATCTCCCATTCGAAACGGATTGGACTCCACTGGTCACTACTTCTCAATAGAACTACATGAAATCCATTTTGAAGCTAGTCACTAGTAAGCACATGATTATTATCAGAATGAGGATTTGTGGACATTATAATAGTCTAATTCGCTAGTCGACTAAAGTTAGACAATCATTGAAAACCTGGAAGCACTGGATGGTCGTTCGGTACTAGTATGGAATATGTATAGATAAATCTTTCATACAAATTGGTGATACATTTTTGTTTTAAAAATCATATTTCATAGATCATTTGAACAATAAATATTTAATGTACTCATGATTAGATCATGTGAATTTAATCAGACAGTAAGATAATGGTAACCAATAAATACGGTTCGATGTAACGTTGTATTTCTTCATGTAATGACATGGGGCTTTTTCTACGGGATGAGGTTCCTGGTCCCATGCCCAACCTTCCTCCTTTGGGCTTAGGACCGGCATTAACCCTTGAAGAGCTACAAACGGAGGCCTATGTCCCTCCGTAAGGGGTAACAGGCGTAAGTAAGTAACTAACGTAATAACAAGAACTGAAGACCTACTGAAAATCAATGAGCATTAGGAGTTTGTTAAGTAGTCAATACAAACTTTTCAACAGGCCTTTGTTAAAGACGACTCAGATAGAAATCAATCATGTTAAATGTAAAACAGAAAACGTATATTCACAATTTATTGTTTCCGAAAGTTTGTGGAGCTCTCAAATCAACTTTAATAAACTCAAATCACTTCAATTTTAACTTTATGCCCCCAAATGCCCTGATACGGTCGAAAGTGGTGAGTCCGCTCTCTCTCTCCAAATGCTCTCACATGGCCGAGCATATATAGCCTCTGTCAGGGAAGTTCTACTCAATACCTTCTCATGGCATTAATGTTGTTTACAAAATTGAGAGGACGAAAAGCGAATGCCCGGAGCTTTAATCGAGTTGGTGGACACGGTGAGTTCACCTAGGGGAGTTGGAAAACCCTGATTTGAAACCATGGGTTCCAGTATCCTGAGGGAAAAATGGCATATGAACCAATTATCGGTCACCGGCTACCATGGGACTGCATCTCCTGACGTTGCTCCACTGCCTTGTAGATCAGATCTTTCGGTCAAAGTCTTCGGGTGTGCCCCCCTAAAAAAACCACCTGCTTCAGTTTGGGCACAGTCCTCACACAAATCAAATGAGATTTGTGTGGCGCATATGCATTCGGTGCCTCCTTGTACCAATATTTATGTGTTTAAATAAATAAATAAACCTTCGTTAGATGTGTTCCATATGTCTATCATTACATACATTATTCAAGACATTCCAAAGTAATCAAATCCTAAAAATTAAGGATCAAGGTAAATAAAAACAAACAAACAACAACAACAATAATTGAAGAAATATAACTGAATTCTTACAAAAGATAATAACGTTGTTTAGCGACCAATTCATCATAATTTTGATAATCACCACTACATAAAATATGTGAATATAACCATTCAATCCGTAATGTAATTGCATTATCACTTGGACGAGAATAACCAAAATTTGGACTACATACCTAAAATAAAGTTAGAATATTAAAAATGTTATAGGTTTTCATTAAAACTGATGATACTTATTTACTTATTATTACTGGTTTTATTCAATATTATATTTTCGGTACAATATATAGAATTCTCAGGACATGGCAGGGAAACATGGCCAATAAGAGTAGAGGATATTTGTAGGCTACTAGTGTTCGATCATAGGTATCTTCTAAGCATTGCTCGTATATCCTGAGACCACCGTGTAAGTAATGCAGTCGTTAGGAAACGGGTATTAGGTAAGGATGGAAAATCGATTGATAAAGTAGTTAAACTTCATCAGTCCAGATGGCTGGGACACGTATTACGAATGTCCAACCACCGACTGCCCCGACATGCAATATTTTATGGCGTAAGAGTAGATTGGAAGAAAGCTAGGGGAGGCCAGACCAAAACGTGGCACAATTCCATGAAGTCACTAACATTTTTACTAAGACATGTTGGTAAGTGTAGACTACCTGGTTGGGATTTGCGAGATGATAGCAATCGATGGTTAGAGACTTTGAATGACATGGCTCAAAATCGTTTACAATGGTAAAGGTGCATCCACACTTTGTGTTCTACCAAATTCTAATCTTCTGAATTCTTCATGTCTCTATCCATTTTTCTCTTTAAAATTTATTTCACCGGATTATACTCCTGGGATAACATCTTCAAACCCTAATCTTTCGGATTACTGCTTATACTCTTACTACTTCAAGCACTATGGAATTTGAATCGACAACTGCATCTCTGTGTTAATGTGGTATGGCAACTCGAACTGATGTACGTACGTACAAAGTTCTACTTTGTAACTGACTGACTGACTGATTCTCAGCACAAAGTATTTCAACAACTTTCCATTTCTTACTTCTTCGTCGATCCTGACGATAAATAATGTGTAATCGCCAGTTAGAAGTTAGTAGTCTAGTCAATCGACATCTGAATAATGTACATTGTTTTCGCTGCATATTGACTGCTAGCAACCACGATATCTCTCATTGGGCCTTTTGTAACTTGTACATCGAAAGGTTGTACACTTTTCATAAATGCACCTCAATAGATTATGCCATTAGTAGCCATAATGATGATGTATTAAAACAAACAAAATTAGATAACTTGTGGAAATATATAAATGACAGGAACAGGTGACTCAAATGTTTAAACACGCCGCCAACTTTCATTAATAAAATAATCATACTTTTTTAAAAGTATAATCATATATAAGATAAAGCTCTTTTTAACCATAACATTATCACCACACAAGAGATTACAATGGGAATTGGGAAGTGTTTTGTTTCATTTACCATGTATGTACAATACATCAGTAAACTTAATACGGTTAGAAAAGCATAGTTTAAATTTTTATTTAAACATAAAATGTTACAAGCAAAGATGGATAGTGGTGAGCAGTGGAATGCACTTTGACTCGAGTTTCGTCCTATTTGGGAATCGTCAGTTGGATCCACCTGCATCTCAGAGTTGATGTCCACTCTTGACAATATCGAGGCGATACGCACAGTATGCACATATGCCAATACCAGTTACAGTCCTAAGCATCAATCGGAAGATTCAAACAAACAATACTAAGTGAATAAAAGGTTATATTCATTGATCACAGATAATTTAACAATCATTCAATATACTATTAATAAATATACTGATACAATTATACAAGTTGATAGGATGAAGTAGCATGTATATAACCTAATAAACTCATAGTAATTGAGTAGAAAAGCTTTGATAATCAACATTAGAGTCAACAAAAAAGAACCCATGATTCAGTTAAATTAAATACATAGAACGTATGATAATCAAGAAGATTAAACAATTCACGTTAGTATAATACTTTAAGAATCTCATGAATATATAAGATGATTGTGTTATTCAACTAAAGAAATAATATTAAAAATAACAGAAAGTGGTTTTGTGGAGATTGTAGTAATTTAATAGTTGAATTCATGAGTGGATTAAAGCTAGAGCACCATGGAAAACCTGGAAGCATTTAACGGCTGTTTCGTCATTGTATGGGACTCCTTAGCTGTACACATCCACGATACTACTCCCTAGTGACTGGCTTCAAGAGGTATTTCCTGGAGTTCTAGTGAGAAACCGTCGTCAAACGAGTTCAACTAGATCTGTTGTGGGGCAGTGACTCACTGAAGACAACGATAGACAGTGGAGCAATATCGTGGCCTGGTTGAAGTTAGACATTAACACTATTGGATGATGGCTCAGTGATCTAGAGTTTATGGGTTTGTGCGTGAGACCGAAAGTCTTGGGTTAGAGTTCCACGTGGGTGATCCTGAATGCACATTGCTGATTAGTCTCATACTAGAAAGAAACGGCCATCCAGTGTTTCCAGGTTTTCAATGGTGGTTTAGCTTTAATCAACTCATGAATTCAACTATTAAATACTAAAAATAGTCTTACAAACTTGGGAAATCAAATCAACTTATTTCATTTGATTGGTTATTCAATAATCTGAAATTAAAGTTAATCATTCAAATTGATTTTAGTTATTTATATTACTTGATGAGAAGTCTTTCTCTGAAATGTTGGAAGAAGTGATACTCTCCGTTCTGTTCAAATTACTTATTACTTATTTTTGACACAAGGAACCACTAAAATTCCCACGACGTGAAGTAAGAACACACGAAAACTGCTACAAATGAAGATTTATTAACCCTGATAACACGATGACGACCCTAGTTGAAAATACACTCATTTATATACGTATATTGTACATCCATTTGGATTATTAATTAGGATGAAATGACATATATGAACAATACCCAGAAATATAACAAATCACATTCTGAATGTCATTTTGAATGTTAAAAACAGAAGTAATGTAGAACAAGAATCATGATGAATCAAATATGTTCATCCCATCATATCACTCTCTATATAGTTCGAACCTATATCATATAGTTTTTCAGTTAAGGATTTCCAGTGTACTTGAAGGGGATTAAGTTAACTTCCAGCAATAATGAGATATTAAAAGTAACCAAATACTGAGAAATATTGATTATTGTAGTTGCGTAACACTCAATACTAATCAATTTTCACAAGAGGGTTTTGTGGAGATTTTAGTAATTTTATATAGTTAAGATAATGAGTCAATTGAAGCTAGACCACCATGGAAAACCTGGGAGCACTAGACGGCCGTTTCGTCCTATTATGGGACTCCTCAGCAGTGCGCATCCACGATCCCGCTCTCGTGAGATTCGAACCCAATCTCGAGCCAGAGCCCTTAACCGATAGACCACTGAGCCGGCATCCAACGGTGTTAATGTCTAACCTCAACCAATCCACGAAATTGCGCAACCAACTTCCAATGTACTGAGGTAGATACCTGTCTCCACCTGACATGGATTAGCTCCACTGGCCACGACTTCTGACTAGAACTCCAGGAATTACCTCAAGGTGCCAGTCAATAGTGTTTTAATAACTAACAGAATAGATACTCCTATTCATAAGGTATACTATAAATGAATATATATATGTCATAAATGATTCCAATAAAGTCTTACTTTTAAATTAGATTAATATTGATTTACGTCATTTAGAATTTTTTTCGAAATTATACAGAAAGATAAATTGTGTTTAAGACTGAAGAACATGATTAGCATTTTATCTTGATTGAAATATATATCCTCACATTCTAGTGTTGATTTTGACATTAGAACTCTAATTCAATAAAACATTAACTCATTATTCATGCCATCAAACGTCCTGGTACCGCCGAAAAAGGAGAGGGCTCGCGCTCCCTCTCTCGCGAACTGCTGTTACATGGCTACGTGTATACTGACTCTGCCATGGAAGTCCTACTCACTAAATTCTCGTGGCATTACTTGTGTTTACGAAAAGCGAATGTCAGGCGCTCTAACCGGGTTGGTGGACACAGAGAGTCTACCTAGAGGGGTTAAAAACCTTCATTCTCAACCAATGATTTACTTGAGCTCCAATATCCTGAGGGAACAAATGGCGTATGAACTAATCGTTGGTCACCGGCTACCATGAAACTGCATCTCCTTACGATGCTTCACTGTCTTTTGGATCAGATATTTAAGTCAAAGGCTTATATTCATCTTACGACTTTCTCAGTCAAGCTAATGATTGAATATTATCTGATGAAATGTTCTAGATTTTCAAGCGACACTTATTTTAAAGTCTTTTGAAATTACTTGATAAACAATTTTCATTTCATAGTTAATATGCTGAACTAATCTTAATCAGATAACTACTGAAAACCAGCAAAATATTGTATAGATGAACTATACAAATACTCGTCAATATTTGAATGAAAAATTTGACAGAAATCGAGCATCGAGTATGTAGAGATATTGTGATTAATGTAGTTCAACCGTATCAAATATGATCCTATTACCTCTCAAAAGAACACAGTTGTGTAATATCGCAAGTCGATTGGAGTTAGACATAATAATCACTAAATACTTGCCATGAGACCCATCCTTAAATGAAACAGTTGTTTAGTGTTTCCACAATTTCAATGGTTATCTAAGTTTTATCTACAATATACAATGTACATGAATCCTTTATAATAATACACTTACTTACTTACTTACTTACTTACGCCTGTTATCCCTCGTGGAAGTACATAGGCCGCCCACCAGTATTCTCCATTCAACTCTGTCCTGGATCTTCCTTTCCAGTTCATTCCAGTTGTTATTCATCCTTCTCATATCTGCTTCTATTTCCCGGTATAATGTGTTCTTTGGCCTTCCTCTTTTCCTCATACCTTTCGGATTCTAAGTTAGGGCTCGCCTCGTGATGCCGTTTGGTGATTTCCTTAATGTATGTCCTATCCACTTCCAATGTCTTTTCCTAAGTTCCTCTTCAACTGGAAGCTGGTTTATCCTATCCCATAAAACGCTGTTGCTGATAGTATCCGGCCAGTGAATGTTGAGTATTTTGCGTAGACAACTGCTTATAAATACTTGTACCTTCTTGACGATGGATGTAGTAGTTT